AAAACATACAATGTTCATGGCTTGGAAGAATCAACACTGTTAAAATGTCCATACTACCCAAAGCAATACATAATTTTAATGCAATCCTTATTAAAGCACCACTGTCATACTTTAAAGACCTCAAAAAATACTTCATTTTATATGAAATCAGAAAAAGCCTCAATTAGCTAAGACATTACTTAGAAATAAAAACATATCAGAAGGAATCACGCTACCAGACCTCAGACTATACTATAAATCAATAGTGATCAAAACAGCATGGTACTGGCACAAAAACAGAGAGGTAGATGTATGGAACAGAATAGAGAACCAAGAGATGAACCCAGCTACTTACCATCATTTGATCTTCGATAAACCAATCAAAAACATTCAGTAGGGAAAAGAATCCCTATTTAATAAATAGTGCTGGGTGAACTAGCTGGCAACCTGTAGAAGACTGAAACTGGACCCACACCTTTCACCATTAACAAAGATAGACTCTCACTGGATAAAAGATTTAAACTTAAGGCATGAAACTATAAAAATACTAGAAGAAGTGTAAGGAAAACACTTGAAGAAATCGGCCTGGGCAAAAATTTTATGAGGAGGACCTCCCAGACAATTGAAGCAACACCAAAAATATATTACTGGGATCTGATCAAACTAAAAAGCTTCTGCATGGCCAAGAACACAGTAAGTAAAGCAAGCAGACAGCCCTCAGAATGGGAGAAGATATTTGCCTCTAATAAAGGTTTATTAACCAGAATCCATAGAGAACTCAAATGTATTAGCAAGGAAAGAACAAGTGATCCCATCTCAGGGTGGGCAAGGGACTCGAAGAGAAACTTCTCTGAAGACAGGCACATGGCCTACAGACACATGAAAAAAATGCTCATCATCCTTAATCATCAGAGAAATGCAAATCAAAACCACTTCCAGATATCATCTAACTCCAGTAAGATTAGCCCACATCACAAAATCCCAAAACCAGAGATGCTGGTGTGGATGTGGAGAAACGGGAACCCTTCTGCACTGGTGGTGGGAATGCAAACTAATACATTCCTTTTGGAAAGATGTTTGGAGAACACTTAGGGATCTAAAAATAGACCTGCCATTCAATCCTACAATTCCTCTACTAGGTACACATCCAGAAGACCAAAAATTATTTTATAACAAAGATATTTGCACCAGAATATTTATTGAAGTCCAATTCATAATTGCTAAGTCATGGAAGAAGCCCAAGTACCCATCAATCCATGAATGGATTAACAAATTGTGGTATATGAACACCATGGAATATCATGCAGCCTTAAAAAAGATGGATACTTTAACTCTTTCATTTTACATGGATGGAGCTAGAACATATTCTTCTTAGCAAAGTATCTCAAGAATGGAAGAAAAAATATCCAATGTACTCAGCCCTATTATGAAACCAATTTATAAGCACTCACACTTCCATATGAGAGCTACAACCCAATTATAGCCCAAGATGAAGGAGAAAGAGGAAAGGGAGGAGAGGATGGGTAGAGGGAGAATAACTGGTGGGAATACAACTATGGTGCATTTTATAAGGGTACATGTTAAATCTACTAAATGCAGAATATAAATGTCTTAACACAATAACTAAGAAAATGCTGTGAAGGCTATGTTAACCAGTTTGATGAAAGTATTTCAAATTGTATATAAAACCAGCGCATCATACCCTATAATTGCATTAATGTACACAGCTATGATTTAATAATACAAAATAAATAAAAATAGCCATATAAAACTATAAAAAAAAAAAAAAAAAAGAAACCATGATCAACCAAGGGGTTTGCCAGGAAGATGGGATGGGCAGCAGAGGAAGTCTTAATATCACCACTGACCAGCTGTAGATCAGTGACTGAACTTGTCTTTATTTGTAAGTGGGTATGTCTATATATGTAGACGCTAACTCCCTGTTTCCTCTCCCAAGCCCCTAACATCTAACTTAAGAGGTGCTGACAGTAGCCAGTCTTGCATCTCAGAACTTAAGTTACAGATTCCAGAAGAGAATGAGTGTCACCCAAAGGGTGGATAAAGGGACTTCGTACCCTCTTTGGGGAGCTGGGGAGTTTTCCATCACATGGGCAATAGATAAATCACGTTAGTCTTAGGCAAAATTTTGCTGTCTTTATTTGGAAACTCAGTGTGGTTAAAAGAGGTGTGCATGGATGCCAAATTGATACAAGATAAACTGTAGTGGTATTCTACCCTGCCAGCTTAGCAAGGCTGGAATTACCTTTCCCCACATTCCCTTCCTTAGATGATTCTGGGTTAGGGTGATCATAGGAAAAATTGGGGAGTGGTATGGAAGGCAGAGAGGAAAGAGCTGCCTGTACACTCTGGAGGTCAGTGTGGGGTCCCAGGTGCCACCTGGGCTGCGGCTCACCTGCTGGCCCACCTTGCTGGCACAAGCTCCCACAGGTCTCTTCCCTTGAACTTTCTGAGTCCTGGGCCAGGCAGGTGTGCAGCTCTGAGATGCAGGTTCCAGCTTCTCCTGCTGGTCACCTGTGCCATCTGGACTGCAGGAAATGAGCAGCAGGAGCTCCTTTTTGTCCTCCTCTCTCCAGTCCCCATCTACCGTTCTCTCCGGGCTTCTTCACTGGATGGCACAACACATGGCCTCGTTCCTTCAACAAACCCTCTACTCCATGACATTCGCAGAGGGTCTGCTTCTCTGAAGATACTGTAACTGACATAGGCTCAATAAAACTGCTCAAAGTTCCTCTCTAACTGAAGCTATGAAACCTTGCACTGAACTGACAAGTCCACTCATTGCTGCTGTCCCTCAAGGGAGGGTGGCTATGTCCTCAAGCCATTACCTGAGAGCTCAGCAGACATCTGTTCAGAGAAGCCACAGTTGCTGTGTTTCTGACTCTGTGCCTCCCATGCACCAGTTCTCCTGTCCCTCTTTCTTCTAGAACCAGTGGCACCACTCAAGAGGACATGACACATTGGCCATGTGGAGTTTTTCAGAATGAAAACTACCAGCAGCTTCCCCACAGTCAAGTGAAATCACTCTAAGTTTTGAGCCTGGAAAGTACATTAAAAAAGGGAGGGGGAAAAAAGAGGAGGAAGGCCAGAGACAAAGGCTCCAATTGCTCGGAATTACCCTCACCAAAAACCCCCCACATATTTGTCTTTACTCATTGCCATTAAAAAGAAAGGAACTGACATGCGCCTGTGGTCCCAGCTATTTCGGAGGCTGAGGCAAGAGAATCACCTAAGCCCAGGAGTTGGAGGTTGCTGTGAGCTGTGATGCCAGGGCACTCTCCTAAGAGCAACGTAGTGAGACTCTGTCTAAAAAGAAAAGGAACTCTATGAAGTTTTGAATTATATCAAGCCATATTTAACTTTGTTCTTTTCTAATTAATCTACTATCTGCCTAAATAGTTGACACTTACAAATTATGTAAATATATTTTTCCTAAATAGTTCTCAGTGTTTAAAATTTTACAGCCTTCTTATCAGAACTTCCCCTTTGCTCATACAGAGTACAACTACTTATTGACAGTGGGCTCAGTCTGTGCCAGGAATGTTCCAGAAAGCTGAGGAAATAGGCAAGAGTAAGCTAGAAAAGGCCCACATCCTCAAGGGGACACAGTCAGTACGGCCCTTCTTCACACTCAGACAAGTGTGCCAACGGAAAACCTACCACAGTCTCTTCTACAATCAATTTAGACTCTTCTTTGATGGAACAGCTATGCTTGTTTATTGCCATGGAAGAGAAAGAACCAAAAACACAAAGTCTCTATGCCAAGATTTCAGGTAACAGGAAAACAACTTCAGGATGAAGGAGAAAATTTCGCTGAGATAGCAGATGACGCTAGAGACTGTGGCAGGACATCAGCGACTGTTGCCTCTATTTAAATTAGCAAGCACACTTCACTTCCCATGCCTCCTTTTGTAAACAAAAGCGAGCTGGACTCCTGAAGGTGACACATGCGCCGATGTTCTACCTTATCATCTTTGTGAGACAGAGCATACTGCCTGACAGATAGTGACGGGAGGAATAAAGCCAATAACTGAAAATAAATTCCAGAGATAGTCCTAGAGAGGGTCTCAACATCTGCATGTCATTCTCTACCTGAACTTGAAACTGGACAGTAACAAAGAGATTCTACTGGGGGACGCCAGCAGGCAACCAACTGGAGCCACAAGAAATACAACTTAGGTGAAAATTTTCTGGTAGGCTGAGTATAGTGGCTCATGCCTATAATCTTAACACATTGGGAGGCCAAGGTGGGGGATCACTGGAGCCCAGGCAGCACAATGAGACCTTATCTCCACAAAAAAAAATTTCTTTAAGTTTTTATACAAAAAACATTTTTAGGTAATCTGGTCATAGTGGCAAGTGCCTGTAGTCAGCTACTCAGGAGGCTGAGGCAAGAGGATCACTTGAGCCCAGGAGTGTGAGGCTGCAGGGAGCTGTGAGCACACCACTGCACTCTAGCCTGGGGGACAGAGTGAGACCCTGCCTTGGGAAGGGAATTGGAAGTGGAGAGAAGAAAAAGGAAAAAATTCTGGTAAAACCTGTCCAAAAATTGAAAAGAAGAAACAAGTCTATGTCCAAGATGCCTATTGTTTTGCACCTAATTATTTTCACTCCAACAGTCAGTCTGGTAGAAACCACTCTGATAGTTCAGCAGGATCGATACAGAGAGAGGGGACACGCTCTACTCAAAGGGTAAGGGTTAGGGCTGTGGCACCCACAAAGACATGCCACAGAATATCGCCCCTTCTCTGCCAAAGGGAACAGGTTCCATCTGCTGAGGCCCGTGCCCACAGCAGTAAGGTGTCTTCCTTTGGATCACCAGGAAGACAGCCATCAGAACGAAGCCACCTGGAGGCTCTCCAGCCTCTTCCAGCCCTTGTGTTACTGACACCTCTGTGGGCTCACAGGCTGCTCAGCTTGGATGATGCCCCCTTCCCTTCCATATCCAGAAAGGGGCCAGGCAAATCAAGGGGCCAGCTCGGCCGCACGGAGCCCAGACTCACTTGACGTGATATACTCCGGAGCTTTTCCAGGGCTCAGGGGCACAGCTTCCTCATAATAACCTTCCGGGAGAGAGGATGTTGGCAATGGTGGAGGCCCACTGTCGGGAGGCTGAGGGAAAAAGGAAAAACAGTGCAGGAATTAGCATGACCACTAAAGGGAATTCTGCATTTCCAGTTAATAGGTGTGAACCAGCATTTCCTCTTGCCTGTGACAAAAAAGACTCTCATTCTTCACAGAGGTTTGGAAGGCCAGTTCCTGATGCGTCCACCCAGTCCCTGCCAACTTTTGGGGCTCAGCCATCAAGCAGTGGTCTCACCAGAATGTCCCAGACACCACCTCCCACCACCACAAACCCATGCAGGATCAGGCTGACTCACAAAGCCATTTGACCCCTTTGCCAGGTCCAAGAGGGCTACTGAGCTCCTCTTTGTCCTCACAACACTCACACCCACTGATCCTCCCAGATGAGATGCTGGCTTTCCTCCATAGCCACCCCCCTCCTAGGCCATGAGCTCCTGCACCCCAGAACTGTTCAGAGCTGCCTCATGCTCCTGGCAGAGAAAGTGCTAGTTCACACTGCCTGCATTAATGAATGAGGCTTGCCCACATTGTCACCATATTCCTAATATGCCAGAAAACTTTTTTAAAAAGGCAAATCACCCATCACCTAGGAGCCACTCTCTAAAATAAAGTGGAAATTATTCTCTGGAGAAGGAATCTGCTCTTTATTCTCTGAATTTCTTGACAGATTCAGAGACTGTGGTGCACTGGTAGTGAAGCCAGAACCTTGGACTATGAAAGGGCTGGGGGCTGGCTCCACCCCTCAGGGCCAGCCAGATTCCACCTGGCCTTCCAGGCTCAGCTGAAGTCCCTTCTTGTCTTAAATGTTCCTGATGCCTCTAAGCCACACCAACCTCTTCTTCCCATGAACACCTGTAGGATTTGCTGGCCATGTTTTCCCTGGTTCTCTGCCAAAAGAGAAGGGTGACAAAGGAAAGGTAAGCCAGCATTCACAAGCACCTATTTTGTGCCTGGCACTGTACGAGACACTTCCACGCTGCCACAGGGATATCAATCAATCAGTGAGGCAGGAATCCATCAGGTTACACATCATAGATCATCTTATATTTTACAGACATGGAAAAATCCGATATTAGTAAAGGACAGAGCTGGGGATTTCCACCCAGCCTGCTAAAGTCATTTTTTATATTCACGTTCTCTTTCCTCTTATCTATTAATAGCAAGCAGCCATTTCACACTATATTCTGTAAACAAACTGGGAAGAGGTGTGTCACAGTGAACAGAAGAACAAGGCTGAGGCTCCAGTCTGAACGTCTACCAAGTTAAAGTTTCAAGTAGAACATTCCAATCAAAGTCCCATGAGGTCCTTTGTAGAAGACTAATCACCCACAGCACATCCAGCCCCTTCCCTCCTCTCACCAGATGAAGAAGAGAGCTCAGTGAAGATCGCCTGCACAACATGCCTTTGTGTACTGACAACAGCTCTCTCCCTTCCACCCATCCTGTTCCCAGGCTAAATAATTCCAATTTCTCTGTACACCTACCTAGGCTGATTTCCTAGACAGCCATTCTGCAGTCTTATGCTGGACCATACCCAGGTCATTCATATCTTCCTAAAGAAGCAGTTCTTAAAATGGAACCTGATCCACCATGCTGAGCACCAGGAAAGGACTGTACAGCAGTCCACACCCAGGTCAAAATCTCTGCTAGTTGCTTTTGGAAAAGAGTCATTTGATTCACTGAGTTTCTTTTATTCATGAAATGCATGGTGTTCCAACTTCCTTTTAATATGGTGAAACAGTCAAATTATTCATGTCCTGGGAAAGCATTACAAACAGTTGAGTCAAAGAAATGTTTGTTAAATGGTACAACTCAGACTCCCTTCCTGATGGCTACATGTAATGCAAAGGTGTGTAAGGCAAAGACCTTCATCTCTTTAGGAATGAGATTTCTGGACAAATACCAACTCCATTGATGGGTGTACTTTTGGCACAACCTTTTGAAGGATATACCCTTAGATGCAATAATTCTACTTTTAGAAATATAGGCCAAGAAGGTCAATTGGGCACATGAGGAAAAACATGTATAGGAATAATAAAAACTTATGCTCAGCAAAATCTAAAAACAATTGAAATGTTCATCGTAAGAGCAATGCTTAGATATTTGTTACATCCACAGAGATTTACAAGAATAGTGCATGTGTACAGTCATTTACGTAAAAATCTCTGCTAGATACTGTTGAATCATATATATATGATTCTTTTATATATAATCTGGGTAGATTTACCCATACAAACACCTAGAGGTCATTCGCCAAAAATGTCAATAACAGGGACCCCTTTTTTTATACATACCTGTATAGTATGTATACTATACATACTATATGCATAGTATTTATGCATATAGATAAATATATGGATTTTCTGCATAGTATTTATCACTTTTAAAATCACAAAAAAGAAAATATACCCTTCAAAAGATACTACTACCAGAAACACTCTACTGTCAATACAGTTTATCCCTGAAATCTGCCACAAGAGATTTCAGATGCATACAGCTTGTTAAAGGTCAAACAGGAGCATCTGAAAAAAGGAACCTAGTGTTTTCTGATCCTTTCTGATAGGTAAGAAATCACTTAACTCACAGGGAAGACAGGTTTCCAGAAGAGATCACGGGAAACCAGAAGACAGGTAGGGAAACAAGAGTGTAAGATGAAGAAGAGGAAGAGGAAGAAGTAGAATGAAGGGAGAGCAAGAGGGAAGAGGAGGAGGAAGAGGAAGGAGAAGAGGAAAGAAGGGAGAGAGGAAAAGAGGGAGGAAGGGAGGTGGGGAGGAAAGGAGGGGGGGGAAAGAAGGAGAAAGAAGACAGCGCAAGCATGTATCACATCTAGGTCCAGAGTGGTTCCTGGGTCTACACAACCTTTCTGGAACTCTGAGTCCCAGTTTCCTCACCTGTAAATGATGGTGCTGCGTCATAATAATCTCCAGTGCCCACTTCAACTCTAAGAGTCCAATTCTAGTATTCTTATACAGTTATAGGTCCAAGCAGGCACAGCAGCCCATGCCTGTAATTCCAACACATTGGGAAGCCTAGGCAAGAGGATGGCTCAAGGCCAGAAGTTTGAGACCAGCCTGGGCAACATAACAACACCCTATCTCTACAAAAAACTTAAAAGCTTAGCCAGCCATGGTGGTGTGCACAGGAAGTCCCAGCTATTCAGTAGGTTGAGTACGAGGATCACTTGAGCCCAGGAGTTCAAGTTTACAGGGAACTATGATGGTTCCACTGCACTGTGGCCTGGGTGAAAAAGCAAGACTGAGCCTCAACTATAATTATAGGCCAAGAAGTGATAAAGCCAACTTGGTCTCTTTCAAATATTAGGGAGAAATGACCTTGTGTCATCACCAGAGGATAAACAATGTGAAAATCACTGGTCAAAGCAGGTCCTTCAAATGTGTCTTTTTGATAGCAGCACTACTTAACCTACCTTAAGGTACTGGAAATGTCTCCTGTACAGTCTCCCTCTGTGTCTTCTTAGAGAAGACCAGTACTTATGACAGCATAGTAATATGATTTACAGGCTTGACTGACTTACAATACTGGCTACAGTTTTAATTCTCATCTTTTGAGAGGAGAAAACCCGTAAGTATTTGCCTTTGCTACTTTAAGGAAAAGCCACACAGAGAATTCTTATTCCAATAATAATAATACTTTACTATGTTCATATAACTGTGTGGTATAAATACAGTAATAGTTATTTCCATTAATACTACAGATTAAGGCTCGGCACCTATAGCTCAACCGGCTAAGGCGCCAGCCACGTACACCTAAGGTGGCAGGTTCGAATCCCCAGCCCGGGCCCGCCAAACAACAATGACGGCTGCAACCAAAAAATAGCCGGGCGTTGTGGTGGGCGCCTGTGGTCCCAGCTACTTGGGAGGCAGAGGCAGGAGACTCGCTTGAGCCCAGGAGTTGGAGGTTGCTGTGAGCTGTAATGCCACGGCACTCTACCCAGGGGGACAGCTTGAGGCTCTGTCTCAAAAAAAAAAAAAAAAAATACTACAGATTAAATATTCCTTCTCTAAAATGCTTAGGACCAGAAGTGTTTCAGAGTTAGGACTTTTCTGGATTTTGAAATACTTGCCTTATAAACTTACCAGGTGGGCATCCCAAATCCAAAAATCCTCAATCCAAACTGCTCCAAAATATGAAACTTTTTGAGTGCCAACCTGACACTCTAAGGAAATCCTTGTTAGAGCATTTTGGATTTTCAGACTAAAAACAATCAACCGGGGCGGTGCCTGCAGCTCAAAGGAGTAGGGCGCCGGCCCCATATGCTGGAGGTGGCGGGTTCAAACCCAGCCCCAGCCAAAAACTGCAAAAAAAAAAAAAAAACCCAACCAGATTTGCTATTTGCCTATTATGTGCCAGATGTTGTCCTGGGATAGTTTATATACATTTTCTCTCACCCAGAAAATAACACTGAGATGTCAGTATTTTGACTATGATTTCACAATTGAGGAACCTGAGGCTCAAGAGATTAACGGCCAGACCCAGGATCATCCATATGCTACCCAGTAAGTGGAGAAGCAGAACTCAGTCCATGTGGGTCCTGCCTGCTGAGTGGGGAGGTGTGGTCAGCCCACGTGGGTCCTGCCTGCTGAGTGGGGAGGTGTGGTCAGCCCATGTGGGTCCTGCCTGCTGAGTGGGGAGGTGTGGAACAGTAGAGGCTGTGCCTGGGTCACCAATGCTTCCTGCAGCACCTGATACACAGGTGGCCAGGCGGACCAACCACTGCAACTACGTGGGCCCAGCCTTTCTATATCACACAGCCAACTGGATCCACTTCTTAATGAAAACTGGCCTTCCCACACCCTGACATCAGCACTAGCACCCTGCTTCTGCTGGCGCTCTTCACGCCTGGCTTCTTGCCTCTCTGCTGCTACCACTGGCTTTTCTCCTCCTACCCTGATTTATTGTTCAGTCCTTTCCACAAGGAATGCCAATAAATTATAAGACCTAGCCTGAGCCGAGAAAAATGTGAGCTTAGAATTTGTGCTCGCTTTCTGACTCTCATTCTATATATA